CATATATCCTTCGCCACCTCCTACACAGCTGATTATTTAAATGGCCTAGAGCCAAAATAGAGGATTCATAGCACACATTTATGAGATCTGCTTTCTTAAGTGAAGCCTCGTGGCACAGTGTTTAAACTGTGGTGCTGCCACCAAAATTCTGCTCATTATATAGATTCAATCCTAAACAGCCAGCTCAAGGTTCACTCAGCCTTCCATCCTTCCAAGGTCAGTAAATTGAGTACCCAGCTTGCTGGGGGTGGGGGTGTAGCCTGCATAATTAAATTGTAAACCTCCCAGAGAGTGCTTTAAATGCTATGGGGTGGTATGTACTGTATAAGCTGCAAGCTTTGCTTTAAGTGCTGAAAGGCCATTTGTTTATCAGAACACATTATTATCCTCATCCACATACCTTGCATTCAGCATGCTTTGCAATTGGTCCTTGGAAGGAAAGGACCAATTGCAAAGGATTACTAAGGCAAGTGTCTCCAAAGAAATCCCTTTGAGGAACAGAGAGCAAATCCTTAGAAATATATATTCCCTTAACACCTCGTTTGAAAACCACCACCCCCAACATGCAAGTAATAACCAATTGTATCATTTTCTGACATCTCTTCATAAGGCAGAGTTCTAGTTCTGTGGGATAGAATCAGACAAACAGTACCCACTTGGTTGCATCTTTTAAACATTCTACAAGCTGGGCAGAAGTTGCTCAGTTATAAGTACTTACCAGAGAATAAGGAACAACTGTTTTCTCAAGTTCAAATTTTACAATACTTTTTTGAGACATCTGGACTTGCCTTCCTACAATTCCTGTCTCCTCACTCCAATATTAAGTACTGTAGTGTTGTTATTCTAAACCTTCTTTTCCTCATTTCTTCATCTTAACTCTATAATCTCTCTGCTCTCTCCTTTATCCATACTCTTCCTTCAAATCACCTCTCTCTCTCTCTCTCTCTCTTAGAGGACCCCTGTGCCAAGCTTCTGTTTCGGCCAAACCAACAACTTTCCTCTCTTCCACAGATGTCAGCTGCCATTGTAACTGCTGGGGGCAGATGGAGAGCACCTTCTCGCCTGGGGTTCTGTGAAGTCAAGACTCCCAGTACTGTTCAAACAGATTTTGTCAATGTAGGGGAACGGGATACAAAGATAGGTTGAGTGCCTGATGGAACCTCTTCTAGCAGTTTGTGGGGAGGCGGAGTTAACCCCACTAGCCCCTCCTTCCATCAAGTCCAGTCCTCATCCAGGCTGGAGTTGCAATTGTTGGGCCAGTGCAGACCACAGACCACCGCTGGGTTCTAGTTTTCCAACTCACCCCAGTCAGCTAATTCTTTTTAGGAAGGGCTTATACTTTTGGATACCAACAGACTCCTGCATTCCCCAAGTCCTTCTTTCTTCCACCAAAGGTACTCCTCGGACTTCCCTCTCCAGCACGTTCACTGAGTTGGGGTGAGGCTTGGATATTCAGCCAGTCTTCACGGTCTCCAGGGGATTGTTATCAGTGGCAGGCTGAAAAGTGGAGTGCCTCTTCCATACCCTTCTCCTTCATCCAGCAGGACCTGGATCTATGCTCCAGCCTACGTGTTCTCTGTGGTAAGTGGGTGGTCCTTCTCCAAGGCACAAAATATGGGATGCAACTCCTCTGCTCCCTTTCCCCACTCCTCTCCCTCCATTTCCAAGACCTCTCCCTCTTCCTTCCTCCTTCAGCTCGGTTCCCTCCAGTCTGTCCTGGCCTCTGCCCCTTCCCCCAGATGTGGCTCATCTGCCTCCAGCTCTTTCTCCCCACCTAGGGCCTCTGTTATCCTTTCCATGTCCTCCTAGCATCCTCCCACCAGGGTTTCCCGGGGTGGGGGTCGGCATGGGGCAAAGGCAGACAACCAACCTGGGATGGCTAGAGCCACACTGCTCTCTTCCTTCAGCAATGAAATATTCCAAGCCATCCCACCAGCTCAACCAATTTGTGTGGGAAGATTCTATAATAAAAGGCCAAGGCGATAATGTGTATTAGTCCACCATAAAAACCTGATATGGCAGACAATTTTTTTCTGGTGCATTCAATATTTTCAAAGGCACTCTCTGTATTGGTACATAGGTTCATGTTCAGGAGTGGTATAAACATGTCAAAGTATCGAAAGGCAAGAGAGATGAATTTTCCATGTAGAGGCATATGAGTCACAATTCAGAACAAACCTTGTTGGTTCTGATGAATGATTAACTACCTTTGAAGCAGCTTCCTTGGTTTCTAAATAAAAACTAAATGTAGTCATAGCCTTTTCCTAACCATCTTTCAGATACATTCAACCAAATAAAACCAGATACCCTGTCTTAGACTGAAATCTTGACCACTGCCCTGGCTCAGTGCCCAGATGTTAAAACAGAGCTCATGCACTTATAAAGTGTCTGCAAGAGAAGACATTTCAGGAGGGGTAACACATCTTCCGGATCTGGCTATTCTACACAATTCTATGAATGCTTATTTTGACCCAAGCTTTCCCAGTGTGCCCTGTGTGTCTTATGTGCCATCAGGTTGCTTTCAACTTGCAGCAACTCTGAAGAAACATCTCCTTATACTCACCAGGTAAAAATATTATTTTAAGTTTTAAGACACAATTAGCTATGTTTAAGTGGTGGATAAACCAAATTATAACTTGCGCTAAAGGCTGCTATGCCTGTTTCCCCCACTCCCATAGTCAATAAGAACCATAGTCTTATTGACTATGGAAGAACCTGGGGTTTCAAAGCAGACACTGTGAGGAGGGAGCAATCGCAGAGTAATTGGCAGCCTTTTGGTCCTAGGAAAGGGGTGTAAAAATTCCAAACCCTGCCGTGATGCAATGAGACTTGAGACTGCAGTCTCAAAGGACTTACATCAACTCTCACAGACATGTACTATCAATTTTTGAATTGTTGTGTGCAATTTTTTCTGTACTACCTACGAAGGGGTTGTGCTAAGCCTGAAGAAGTGGGATTTTCTCCACGCAAGCTTGCAATTTGTTTGATTTTCAGTGCTCCAATAAAAGGTATCACCCATGCTTACATCTGTGTAATCTTATGAATCGACATTCCAAAAGATTCTGCTATGAACAGCCCTGTACACCTCTTGCAGGCTAAGAGCCATAGCTTTCTTAAGTGAGCCAGTCCATCTCATGGTAAGGGAGGGGTGTTTGTTTTTTTCCTGCAGCAACCATACACAGTGAGGGCAGCCTAAAGCAAACAATGTATAGTTGGGATTAACCTCCTCTGAGTCATTGGAATTTATCTCCAAAGAAGCATTCATGGGATGCAGTTGAGTAACCTGAGTGAGAAAAAAAGAGTCACAAATCTAATGTTGCTGCCTGAGGCAGAGTAGCAAACAGTGCAATCCCAGGAGTAACACTTCCTGAACTCAGGGCTCATGCAGTGTTACTGGATCATTGATGAGCAGTGCTGGCGAATCAAGTTGTGCGGACATGTTAGTTGGCCCTTGAGACAGAAAAACCCACAACCAACTCTCCTTCATCTACAGCAGGGGTTTCAAACATGCGGCCCGCTGGCCATTTGCGGCCCACCAGATGATAATTTGTGGCCCCCACCTTGCCTGCCCTCCCCTGGCTGGCAGGCTGTAGTTCCAGATGGAGAGTACAAGAGGTGCTGTCTTGGGGGAGAGCCAGTGAGCTAGGCATACTGCCGGCCTTTTTGCCCTGAGCGCCCGAGCTGCTGCCGAGCGATGCCTGAGAGCGGAGCTCACTCCCGGCCCGTCCTCGAAGAGCACTTCCAAGCCGCCAACAGCAGCTGCTGCCACCGCCTCTTCCAGGAAAGCAGCTGACTCTCTTTCTCTCTCGGCACCCACAGCACCAGCCTGGCCAGCGGACGCCTCAGCACGATGCTTCCTCCTCCTTCTTGTCCTGCTTCAGACACCTCGGCTCTGGAGGCTGCCTGGGCTTGCCTCGCAGTTTGCTCCTCTGTTGTGGTGGTGGGTAGCTGCTGCTGCTGAGTGCGCCTTTTTTTGAGGCGGGCCCTCAGAGGAAGGTTGCCAGACCTCCGTGTGTGTGTGTCTGCTTGTGTGCATGCCCCATTCTGTTTAAATTCGCAGGTACCAGTGAGGGCTTTTCTCCTTTGGCAAGGTGAATTATGTGAGGGATTTTTAAAAATTTTATATCGTGCCCCACCCCGCTAGGTCGTCGCCGGCGCTCCCTCCCTTCTCCGCTTCTTCGTCGTGCTGCTGCTGGTGTTGGTAGTGAAGAAGGAGCCAGAAGGGGTCATGGCCAGTGACAAGAGCTCGCGCCCCCCCTCCTCGAAGCCCCAGCTGAGCTAAGGAAACTCCCCTGCAGCTTCCTCTCTTGCCCCGCTTGGAGGAAAATCTGATCCGGCCCAGCCTCACCCAGACTCTGCCTTCAGCGGCCCCCAGGTAAATTGAGTTTGAAACCCCTGCTCTACAGTGTGCGGACATGTTAGTTGCTGCTCTACAGTGTGGCAGTAACAAACACTGAGTAACAAAGCAAGCACTGTACCAATTTTCTACTACTGTATTTGTTAATATTCAAACTCTTCCGCCTGAGACGGCTGCCTCATTCTCCGAAATGACAAGGCTGGCCCTGGAAAGGGATGCACTGATACAGCTGGCTGGCTTTCCAATGCGTCCATTTTGCTCCAGTTCATGGAAGTGATGCAAAGGAGCAAACAAAATAAAAGGGAATACATAAAAGAATGATATCATAAAAATGCGGCGGGTGAGGGAGTCATTCGCTATAAATCAGGGGACGTACCGAAGCACTTTTTTTGAATCGAAGGGATTATCTTCTCATCGGCCACTGACTCATAATAATTGTTAATGCGCTCACTCGTTTAAAAAAAAAAAACCGGAAAAGAGAAAGAACGTATTGAGTCAAATCTGCCAGAAGCAACAGGCCGAACCGGGCGGCTGCGTCAGCAAATACCTTCGCCATGACCTTATCAGACGCCTCATTCACACATTCATTCATTCAGGGGCTCCGCCGGAGATGCGGGGAAAGGGGGTGGGGGGGTGGACAGAGGCGCCCGCTAAAAGGTCCCGTTTGAAAATGCAGACCCCGCCGCCTGTGGGCCCACTCGCTTGCCCAAGAGAAATCCCCTCCGTGTGCGCGCTTTCCTCGACACGCGTGTAAGCAGCCCGCGCTTTGCTATATAACCCACCGCGGCGGGGGCGGCCAGGAGAGAGAAAAGCACCCTCTACGGCGCCTTCTCCCCGTTCGAGGGAGCCCCGGGTGGTTAAGCAAAGGTATTCGGAAGGCGTCGTGATTGGCTGTCCGACCCGCGGGCTGCTGAGCCCCGATTGGCTGCAGCGCTTCCTTTGTTCCCTTTCTCCCCTGCCGCAGGGAGAGCGGAAGTTTCACTCGGCTTCTGCCACGGCGGCCAAGGCAAAGCGGCAGAAGCGCCGCCCGCGGGCAGAGGAACCTCCCGACACTCGGGGGCAGGGGAACCTCCCGACACTCACTTCCTTTCGAACCCGCGTCTAGCTTGTCAGGAGGGGGCGGAGGAGGAAGGAGACGGAAAGGAAAGCGCTTCTGCTCGCCGCCTGGGATCTCCCGCATCTGCTGGAGGAGCCAACATGGATTTGGAGAGCAAAATCAAGAAGGTGAGGAGGGGAGAGAGACGCGCCCTTCACCGGCGCAGGGTTACCTGGCTGGGGTGGACAACGCCCCTGTTGTGCCTCCCGTCGTTCCCATTGTTCTCTTCCCACCTTTGGAAAAATCTCAGACCTGCCCTTTCCTTATCGATGACAGATAATCCAGTGCCTCGCCTGCTTTCCTGGTGTAGACGACTTTTCAGTTTTCGCTTGTCGAGTGTCCGGTTGATTGTGGGTCGGTATTTGTGTCGAGGCAGTAGTCTGGATTGAGCTCATCTGGGCTGTGATTGTCACTTAATAGCTGGTTTTGATATTCGGACAACGGCACCGGGGTTTACTCCCAAAGAAGCACCCCCCCCAAAAAAAAACTTGTATTGCTTAGATTTATTCATTTGCTTATTTATTGTTGGTCTCAGCCCTCTTCCTGAAAAAACTGGTTTGCTAAAAAGAAGAAAAATGTGTATGATGGAGCCAGATCCACAGGGGTGAAGCAGTGGTACTTCAAGACTAGTTGTAATCCTGACAGTACAGGACAGAGTTTTCTTATACAGTAATATAAGATGGCCATTGGTACATGGCATTGTGAAACACTTTGTTCTTGAACCGGCAATTAAGACCCCTTAGCTTTACAAAAGATCAGCTCCTAGTGGTGATGGAAATTGCTAGAATCTTGCGCTTATTATGGGTTTTAATATGACATTTAATACTTTTTAATATTGTAATAATTAATTGTGTGGTTTTTAACTTTGTTTCTTTTAGTATTAAGAGTTGCTTTAGTTCCTCTAGGAAAAAGGCAGAATATAAATATTTTAGATAAATAAATAAATAGAATTGGTTTGTGGTGTCTGTTCTTGGCCATGGGGGTGTGGCTGTTGGAACTTCCACCCTAACCACCTCTTCCTCAGAACTTACCACTACACTGCTGCTTTTGCGGAAGCAAAACAAAACACATTCAACTGGCTTAGGCTGTCATGATTAAAATAAGATATTAGAGAGAATTTTAAAAGTTCTAGCCTGAAATTATCCAAGGCGCTGCCCCAGCACATCAGTTATTAAGTCATGTCCAACTCTTAGTGACTCCATGGACCAGAGCAAGCCAGGCCCTCCTGTCCTCCACCACCTCCCGGAGTTGGGTCAAAGTTGGTAGCTTCGATGACACTGTCCAACTATCTCATCCTCTGTCATCCCCTTCTCCTCCTGCCTTCATACTTTCCCAACATCAGGGTCCACACAGTCAAAGGCTTTTGCATAGTCAATGAAGCAGAAGTAGATGTTTTTCTGGAACTCTCTGGCTTTCTCCATAATCCAGCGCATGTTAGCAATTTGGTCTCTAGTTCCTCTGCCACTTCGAAATCCAGCTTGTACTTCTGGGAGTTCTCAGTCCACATACTGCTGAAGCCTATCTTGTAGGATTTTGAGCATAATCTTGCTAGCATGTGAAATGAGTAATCTGTGCTGCCTGGGTAAGTTCTCTGCCTCTATCCTTGTAGAAAGTATACAAAAACTTGTTGACCTCTTATAGATTCATCCTAGTTCAGTTATGTTTGGAACACACCATCAAGCCATTTCTAAATTATGAGAACCCTTTTGAGGTTTTTCTAGGTATATGGTACTTCCAAGTAGTCTAGTGTTCTCTTCTTCTGGAGGTACTCTAGAATTGCTCAGGTTGCCCAAGGCTACACAAGCTGGCTTATCTCCTTGGAGTGGGGAATTGAATTCCTGACTTCTGACAATACAGCCACTCATTGAGGCAAGGCTACACAAGCTGGCTTTTCTCCTTGGAGGCAGAGTGGGGAACTGAACTCATGACTTCTGACAATACAGCCACTCATTGAGCTATCTAGTCAGACTTTGAATAATGTTATTAAGCTTAAAAAAAAAAACAAGAATTAAAAGGAATTTAAAATTAAAAGGTATTCCTGGCAAAACGTCAGGAAGAACAACCTTCAGAACATGGCCAAAAGCCCGAAAAACCCACAACAACCAATTAAAAAGTATTTTTGTTTGTTCTTCGCTCTAGTATTGTTGTCTTTTTATGCTATATATTTTTATCTTACTCTTTGTGCAGGTGCAGCTTCTATGTGGAGTACAGTAGAGGAGTGGAGAGTACTTACTTATAGAATCTGCTTCTTGAGCAGCGGGAGTGGGAGCAGATCAGGAAGCACTGGGGCAGGAAATACTACTAGCAGTATGCCCACCAATGATGCAGAAGGGATTAAAAATGGAGTATTACTGGAGCACCAACAGTTTTGGAACTGCTGAATCCAAAGCCCCACAGATCTATCAAAGGGGCACAGTCCTTGAACCCCTAAGATATAGGGTTGCTGTTAGTGGCACAACAACAACAAAACATGGGGGATTCTCATCCAGCCACTCTATTTTCTGTCCTGGCTAGTCTGAGCTGACTCGGCCTGAGATTTGGGGCCATTCCCTGCTCCACCCCCACTCCATTCCGATTGTGTGTAAGGCTGCCTTGGAAGCCATTTGTAATAAAATGCAACATTTTGAGATAAAATGCATGGTGTTTGAGATACTCTGAGATATTGCTTGCTTGCACTTTTTATTTGTTTTTAAAGATCCACTTATAAGATCCCAAGTTACTGAGCAGCCCTTCTCCAAAATCAATATGGTCTGGTACTGTCATGTTCATGAAGTTTTTGTTTCTTAATCCATGTGGCACATTAATACAGATTTCCATGCAGCAATTCATACCTGCTTTAGGGCTTATACCATCATCCTGCTTCTAGGATGATTATGTTATGGATGGCTGTTCAGCATGCCACTAGATTCATTCATTTTAATCACGACTTTCTTTTCTGAGGCGGGAGATGTGAAACTGGAGAGCTTTCTGCTCTATACAGGCACAAGGTGTTAACGAGCAGAATTTATCTCTGTCTGATTGCTATGATGCTTCTGCCTGGGTGGCATAAGGAGAAAGGAGAGTGCATATAGACCAGATGGCCTCTTAGTTCTGTGATGTTATCCAAATTAATAGCACTGCAGCTACACTTTGACTTCCTGCAACATTGCTATTATCTTCTTAATCCACAGACTTAACTTTGTTCTTACTGTGCTTCGAAGTCTCTTGGTGGGCGACTTTATTTTAATGGGCCTCTTAGTGCATGTCTGAGATCCCTGTGGCCTTTCAGAGGCTTTTTGGTCCTCAGTAGCTAGCTTTTAAAGAAGGATCATAGATCATCAGGATCTAGAGGCCCACAAGCTTCCCATTCCTGATTTAGTGTCTTCATTGACTGGTGGACCGTCACATAATTTTGGTCTATAACTCTCATCATCCCTAGCCCATCATAGCCATTCATAAGAATTGCAGTCAGACGTCATCTGGCATTGCAGTTGAACAATATCTAGAGAGCAGTAATTACCCTGTCCAGACCATGTATTTTATGCCCCTCTGGAGGCAGGAGTGGGCAATTGGTACCTTTCCTTGGTGCTGCTTCATTGTGACTTCCATCATCCTTCACCTTTGTCTGTGCTAGCAGGACCATTGCAAGTTTCAGCCCAACAGCATCTGGAGTGCCACTGGCTGGTCATCTCTGGTATAAGGGGCGATCAAATTCTTGCCAATAGGTTATCTAAGAAAGAATATTGACAGTACTTCTGTTGACAGTGATAGCTCAGTAACATCATTATGTCAACATCGTTGTATTTCTCCCGGATGTTTTACATGGAATGTTGAGTCTGTTGATGAATAAACGCTTGATTTCTTGTGGTTTTGCAACTAAAAACCATCAGGCAGAAGGAAACAATGCATTTTCTAGCTTGTATTACCTTTGACTTATCCGTTGATGAGCTTAGTAGAACAAAGGCTATAAAAAATGAAATTTCTAAAAACTGTTCCCCAAAGAAAGAAATACTTGAGTCTCAGGGATATTAGAATGTGGCAAGCGAGATTGTGTATTTATCATGTAAATGTATCCATGGAGACTGTGAAAAATGGTACCATGTCAATAACTTCAGATACCGTTGTCTCCAGAAATGTATCCATGGTTAGACAGATGTTTGGGAAGCTTCGAATAGAAATTTGTGAATGATGTTTTCATTCTTCTACCCAGCCTTCCAGAGTCTCTTTGTTTAGAAATAAGTAGAAATAAATGTTTATGAAAGATCTAAGAGAGCCAGCTCTCCAAGAATATCAAACCCCATAAAGGTAAATAATATGGCAATGTGAGCATAAACAACTGAGCAACTGTAAAAGAAACATAATAATCTCAAAACATCAAGCCAGAAAAGATTATGAAAGTATAGACAAGGGAAAAAAAATGACATTCCTAAAATTGTGGAGTGGGAGAGGGATTGTAGCACCAGTGTATTATGGGGCTGCCATTCTCATCACTTAGCAAAGTCAGTGGTGAAGGACAATGGGAGTTGCCATCCCACAAGACTGGCATTGTTGGTTCTAAATTTGAAGACCTGAGGTCAAATGGAAAAATCCATCCCAGGTTTAGCACAAGAACACTTACTAATATTCCTAATATGGTTTAAGCAGCAGTGGCTGAGGTGGGGGTAGAGAAACTCTGACTCCATTAACTGAGGCTTGATAGAAAACTTTGATGCTCTATGACTTCCAGGCTGTCAGATGCTATGATGTACATAAATCTCAGGCTTGAGGTGGCTTCCAGTGACTTGACCTTATTTAAAATTAGAAGACCCATGGAAAAGTACATTTGGAAAACAAGTATCTGTAGTCTTCCCTCCTCCCATTTCCTCCCTCAGCTGTTAAAACACACATTATTGTGTGGTTGTCTGCCTAAAGTAATAATTGGGTCTTTATTCTTGAATAGGTCTATTAATTTTATGCACTGCTATATGTAGTGAAACTGTACTTGCTTAAAAACATGTTTTTAAACTGCTTTTTTTGTATAATGATTAGAGTGTGAACCAGACATGTTGTTTCTCAACATAATTTGCCTCACAAAGTTGTCATGTTATTAAAGTGGAGAAGAAGAGCAGCAAGTACGGTAGTCTGAGCTTACTGTCAGCAGGCATGATTG